GTTGCTTCAATGCATTTAGGGGTGTGGTCCTGGTCAAGACAATCTCCTGAACTCCAAACTGAATGTCAGAATGGGAAAGAAAGGTGATTTAAGCAATTTTGAGCGTGGCATGGTTGTTGGTGCCAGATGGGCCGGTCTGAGTATTTCACAATCTGCTCAGTTACTGGGATTTTCACGCACAACCATTTCTAGGGTTTACAAAGAATGGTGTGAAAAGGAAAAAACATCCAGTATGCGGCAGTCCTGTGGGCGAAAATGCCTTGTTGATGCTAGAGGTCAGAGGAGAATGGGCCGACTGATTCAAGCTGATAGAAGAGCAACTTTGACTGAAATAACCACTCGTTACAACCGAGATATGCAGCAAAGCATTTGTGAAGCCACAACACGCACAACCTTGAGGCGGATGGGCTACAACAGCAGAAGACCCCACCGGGTACCACTCATCTCCACTACAGATAGGAAAAAGAGGCTACAACTAGCAAGAGCTCACCAAAATTGGACAGTTGAAGACTGGAAAAATGTTGCCTGGTCTGATGAGTCTCGATTTCTGTTGAGACATTCAGATGGTAGAGTCAGAATTTGGCGTAAACAGAATGAGAACATGGATCCATCATGCCTTGTTACCACTGTGCAGGCTGGTGGTGGTGGTGTAATGGTGTGGGGGATGTTTTCTTGGCACACTTTAGGCCCCTTAGTGCCAATTGGGCATCGTATAAATGCCAGGGCCTACCTGAGCATTGTTTCTGACCATGTCCATCCCTTTATGGCCACCATGTACCCATCCTCTGATGGCTACTTCCAGCAGGATAATGCACCATGTCACAAACCTCGAATCATTTCAAATTGGTTTCTTGAACATGACAATGAGTTCACTGTACTAAAATGGCCCCCACAGTCACCAGATCTCAACCCAATAGAGCATCTTTGGGATGTGGTGGAACGGGAGCTTCGTGCCCTGGATGTGCATCCCACAAATCTCCATCAACTGCAAGATGCTATCCTATCAATATGGGCCAACATTTCTAAAGAATGCTTTCAGCACCTTGTTGAATCAATGCCACGTAGAATTAAGGCAGTTCTGAAGGCGAAAGGGGGTCAAACACAGTATTAGTATGGTGTCCCTAATAATCCTTTAGGTGAGTGTATATGTTCTATCACATCCTGCTTTATACCTCTCCGCAGATGATAAACACAAACATGTTATTGTGAAGCTGTTTACGTGCTTTTTCATTCATCGTTGTTGAAAAAAAATGCTGGCCTTCAAGTTGCTGTGGCAACACAAGTGACATGATGCAGGGTGTAAAAGAGAGTGACAGACAAAGAAGAAGAAGAGAAAGAGAGAGGCATATGTGAGTCATATTGTGACCCTGAAACTTGAGCAACAAAATCTGCCTACAGTTACAATTAATGAATGATATGGAAGGGTGAGAGAATTATATTGCATTGGAAATGACCTAAAAAAAAAAAAAAACTCTTCTCTTTCGAGAAGCTGCAGTGGTTATTGGTGAGAGAAATGTAATCAAATCACTGAAGTGCCTGCAGAAAAACGGAGGAGAGCAGTGAGATTTCTGAACGTGAGGAGATGTAATGATGTGAATCAGCCAGATGTGGTGTTCAGCGAGCTGCTTTGAGTGGGCAGAAGTTAAAGCTGTGAACTCTTGCTCTCGGCCCCCGTGCTCTGCTCAATTCATTTATAGCTGTGAAAGGCATTATATTCTTTCTGAAGCGTTCGTGTCCAGTGGAGTAATGGAGGAATCAATGGAACTGATGAGAAAGAGTTACAGCCATGACATCATCACCGAAATAATGATGCGAGTTGACTTATCACACCAAATTACAGAGAAAAGGGAAGATAATGACCTAAAATCATATTTCAGTCTTTCTCATTTGTTAGGACACCCATTTGGCACCAATCACACTTTATATATATATATATATATATATATATATATATATATATATATATATATATATATATATATATATATATATATATAATGTACTGTATATGTATATATGTATATACATATATATATATATACACACACATAGGCCTATATACACACATATAAATACACACATATATACACACATATAAATATATATATATATATAAATATATATATATATATATATATATAAATATATATATATATACAATTATTTATAATGAATCATTTTCCAATTTATTTCATTGTACATTACCCCAGGATATCAACAATAAAATATATAAATACAAAAACTATTTTATTAAAAGAAAAATCTCTGCCAAATAAAAGCACAAGCTTTTTAATTTGCATGAAATGTTACTTCATTGCTTCATAATTAATAACATTCACGGGCGTATAGATTGCAATTGTATTTTGCAACAGGAAAAAAGTCTTGCATAAAACAGAAGCAGAGAGTACACGGGTCTTTACAGCAAATTATGTGGACGAAATATCACGTGGTAAAGTGAACAGCCTATAATGAGCTGGGCTAAATCATTAAACCAGTTAAAAGTAGATCTACAGTACGTGTTTCGGCAGCACAGCCTTCTTCAGGACACATATCAATGCTCAAATATAGTATTCTTAAACTAGTGGTGATTAGTGGATCATCGAGGACAGCTGTGTGTGTGTGTGTGTGTGTGTGTGGATAAGATAGCCTCTTGGTACAAAGCAACAACAAAGAGAGAGAGAAAAAAAAGAAGAAAAAGCTAAGAAAGAAAGAAAGAAAGAATATATATATATATAATTTAAAAAAGAAAGAAAAAAAATGACATCACAGGAAAAAAGTCTTTACATATCAGTCAAACAGGCTAATCATTCTAAAACATTCTCACAATTAATCGATTTGATAATTAGTCCTGTCAAATTGATTAATCGCGATTTAATATATATACACACACACATATAGGAGAGGAAAACATCATGAAATTGGTGCAATTTACATTTGAGACAAGATAATGCTGTTCTAGCTTTTTTAGCTCTTTGGAAAAAATATATAAAAAATCCAACAGAATTTTGAAATATTATGTGCATCTGACGTAGAAACATACTATGTTTATATAATGGGTTAAGACTGATATACTTTCTCAAAAACATTTTTTAGAATGATTATTTGACTGATATGTAAAGACTTTTTTCCTGTTGCAAAAGACAATTGCTATCTATGTCCGTCAATGTTGTTAATTATGAAGCAATTAATTAACATTTCATTTACAAGTAGGCTACATTAAAAAGCTTGTGCTTTATAAAAAATAATAATATAAAACCTATCCAAAATATTGTGAGAAAGTGAAACATTTTTTTATAAGTTTTATATACAAATATTTATGTAGGCCTATTTATAGTATTTCATTGTTGATCTTCTGGGGGAATGTGCAATTAAAATAAATTGGAAAATAATTAATTCATCACTTTACAAGGTGCAGTCACGTGATACCTTACATGCAAAATGTGCAATTTTAATATACATGTACCTAAGATGAAAAGGAGAAATATGCCAGAGTATAGCTGAATAAATCAATGAGTCGCCTACATACATGGACAGAGATGTGAATATCAATCTGCACAACATCATTGGTTAAGAGAAACTGGTATCATAAAAACAAAGGAGGAAAAAAACAAAGCACAATGAAACGCTTCTGACACATACATAGGTATATATGAACCGTCTTCGATGACGTCAGGGACAGTCTGTCCGTGTCTGAGGGAACATGCCGTACCGCACGTGCCCTCCTCCTGCCCTCACGTGCCACCGCACATCATCAACTCACACCGATACACTCCCCTGTCATTTCATGAGGGCAACATCTTTGTTTTTTTTGTTTTTTAAGTTGATGGTTGATGAATTTCAGTGTTATCAATTTCAAATTCAGATATGCTGAGTCAATTCCTCCCCCCTATCATGGAGAAGTGGGATCCCCCTACTTTGCATATTACAGAATGACGCTGTGTGTAGTTTAACCACATGAATACACGTGTATATATAATAACACAGATCTATGATAAATTAGTGAATATCCTTTTGCCTCTTGTGTCCCATATGAATATGAATATAATGTAAAAATCAATCTGAATTAAAAATGCATTTTTCCATTTAGTAGCTATTAGGCCTACTGGGATTGTTCTTAACACATATACAAAATAAGTAACTTTATCTTTGTTTTCTTATTATATCTCTTTCTTTTACATATTTTATATATATTATATGATTTCAGTGGACACAATATTTTATTTAATTTTATTATTTTGTCTTCAGGTCAGTCCACTTACAATCAAAAATGCTGTATATATGATATCAAGTTCACATTTTTGTTAAAAAAAAAGGGATTACTCTTAGTTTTTATGTAGTCTAATTTAATTACAGTTCTAATGTAATTGCATTAAATACTGTACAGACTGTAGAACAATTCTAAAACAATAGTGGATTTAACATCAAAATCCAATGTTAACATGTATGTTTTTAATATAACCTTCTCCCTTTACACACTTCAAGAATAATGTTTGCAATTTTATATGATATTTCTTTTTTGGCAAGAATTAAAGAGCAGTTTCATGTCTATCCTTGTATTGATCTACTGCTCAAGGTAGATATGCGATTTAGAAAGTAATTAGTGTAATCCAGTACTTTTTAAAGAGAGAGTTATTAGTACAGTAATCTAAATACACTGTTGAATATGTGTATAATTAACTACTTTTTAGAGTAACTTACCCAACACTGTTTGTCAGTAGCTATACAATCTTTAATGAATCACTAAATTCTTAAAGAATTTGACTTATTTTCAAAATATAAAAAACACCCTTATATATATATATATATATATATATATATATATTAATCTGTGCATTTAAATAAACTCTGAAAAACAAATCTCTTAGATATTGTTTTAAAAGCTTTGAAAAATCCATGAAAACATCTCGTATTTGTGACACCCACCCGTTTTTTGAATGAAATGGAACAGTCCGCCGAGGCCACGCCCCCTTTGCTTTCTCCTGTTAATGTTGTTATTGTTTATGTCAGTTGGACGTTTGATAGAAGAAGTGACAAAAACTAAAAAAAAACTACACACAAACCTGTCGAGTTTCCCCCCCACAAAAAACGAGCACAGCCAGCTAGATAGGGACGTTATGACACATAGGATTATTGCCCCGAAACATATGTCAACACTGGGGGTAATAAACTCATGGAGCTGCGCAACGGCACACAGGGGAGAATAACGAGCCTCCGGCGGGGCTGCAAGAGAGTCGAGCCGCCCATCGCGAACATGAGGCGGGATGTCAGTAAAGTTTTGCGCCCGCTTCCCGTGGAGACCAACGATGATGATGAGCCCATGGAAGAAGAGGACTGCTTCTCCACGGGCTTCCTTAAGAGTGCCAACCGGGAGCTCGCGACGCTGTTCTCGGCGCCCCGGTATAGTCTGATTCGGGAGGTGGGTCGTGGGAGCTACGGCGTGGTGTATGAAGCCGTCGCCCGCAGGACCGGAGCCCGGGTGGCCGTGAAGAAGCTCCGCTGCGACGCGCCAGAGAAAGTGGAGCTAGCGCTGGCTGAGTTCTGGGCCCTGGCGAGCCTGGAGAAGAAGCACGAGAATGTGGTGCAGCTGGAGGAGTGTGTGTTGCAAAGAAACGGGATGGCACAGAAAATGAGCCACGGAAACAAGCGAAACAAGCAGTATTTGAGATTAGTGGAAACTTCACTGAAAGGTAAATAAAGTTTAACTGACCGGTACTGTAGCTGGAGCTTCTTGAAAGCATTTGCACTGTTCATGATAAGGTGAACTAAATGAACTAAACTAAATGTATCTTGTCAACACAAGTAGGTCTGATTAACATTGTTTTTGCTTTGTAACACAAATGAAAGTTGCATAAAAGCAATTGCACTTTTAATAATATGCATGCATTAGCATTCAAACCCTTTATGATTTTATTGTGCATCTTAAATGCATATCATGAATGCACAAAGTAGGAAGAAGTCTGTGCGTGAGGGAACATATTGTTCCAGCACTCATAATGCATTAACCCCTTCACTCCCATACAGGCCATATCTATGTACACCTCTTGTCATTGTATGCAATGTTCAAAACTTGAGTCCATTAGTTTTCCAGTAGGTTTACTAATATTGTTATTTTCATGTCATTTGTATTACCAAAATCAGATTAAACTCTGCTGTCAAGGTGCAGAGTGCAAGAACTTTTAAAGACATTTACAGGATAAAAATGTATTGCAATCCCAGACAACAAATTTCTAGCTCATTTTATGCTTTAGAGTGGTTCATAACATGAAAAATGTAAATTGGCAATTGAAATGTCCATGTTTTTATTTCATGCATGTTTACAATTTTAATATTTTCTTTGACTTTTCGGGGCCTGTGAATATATTTTTTAATTCCCTGATATTTCCATGATCATAGTTGATCATCATATAGGCTAGATGAAATTTTGAAATATTTTACACGTCCTATTGGTGTACTCCATTTAAAACAATTTTAAAAGTGAATTATTTGATACATTTTCAAAATGGCACAATATGAATGTGATGTTGGTGTTTTTGTGGCGTTTGGTGTGTTGAGGTGACAGTGAGTTGCGTGTGAGTGCTATATGTGGTTGTGCTCAGCAGTTGCAGGATCTATTTTGTGCTGACTGGTGTTATGTAAGTGCCACCATTTAGTGGCCTAGTCTACAATGGAAAAACTAATCCTGATGTTACAGCCTTCTTTAGAAATGTTCCAGATATAAATGTTATTGCTGATGGTTTTTTGGGTTATATAATGTTTTTTGACAAATACGTCATATATGTCAGTCATGTCTCTATCGACTAGGCCAGAATATTGTATTTGTGACCTGTAATCATGTCAGTTGATCATGTCAAAGTGAACACATTTATAGATCGCACCTTACTTTATATCAGAGATTCCCAAACTTTTCTTTCTCCTTTTTTAACCCAAAGTATTTACTTGAAATACCCTCAGTAATTTGAATTTAATATTTCGATAATTTAACAACACATTTGCGTGTTCATGCTTCTCTGGTTTCAGTTAAAATGCCCCTATTATGATATTTTATAGGGTCCTAATTTTCTCCTACAATAGGTTTACATGCATCAAAGGTCAAAAACACTTCCATTATTAGCCTATACATTATATCTCATAATGTATATTGCACATCATCACTTCATTTCTCAAAGAGTCTGAAAACGGTTCGTTCGAAGATTCAGTCTCTCGTTTCGGCTCTTCAGAATTGATTCTTTCTTTTATCGGAGACAATAACTTTATTTGTCGTGCACTTTGCAATGTTTAAAACATTGCAGACATTTTACCTTCACAAACAGCTATATTACACACTGCATGAAACAAAGATAATATAAAAAAAAGCATAATGGGGCACTTTAATTGTTACATGAAATGCAGGTAAAATAAGTCAAAAATTAAGTATTTATATAGATCGTTTGCTGTTTATCAAAGTTTGATCACCCCAGTTTGGGAAATCCTGCTTCATGAGACCTACATTTTTAAGATTATAGGAGACACGTTCCCAAGTGTTTCCTTTCCCTAAATGTTTATAAGTTGCTATACCTCCACAGGTCACAGTCCACCTGTTTTCCATGCATTTCCCAACCCTTGTTTCCTGAAGTTAAGCTATGTTAGTTATTACAGAACGCAGACAGATTATCAATGCTTAGCCTTATACAGTCTCTTTGGAAGGGCTCCAAACGTGTCGCTCAGAGGAAATCTGTGCTCAGCTAAAGTCTGATTGGTGTTTTGCTAGTCTATCGGCATTAGCTAAAGCAGCACTTTAGTTCTAGAAGGCGTAACACTCTTTGTTGAAGGCTTTGGTTTGGACAGTAAAGCCGCTGTAGTTTGAACAGAACTGGGTTTGATCAAACACAACCGTCTCTGTTTGCGAATGAGTCTGACACAACGGCTTATCAGTGTCAGTTAGAGACCAGAAACATTCAATGAAGAGATGTTTGGCCTAACTCAGCAGAAATAGCTCAATTGAAGCACATGAGTAGATTATGGAGTTGAGTGGGCTTGATTTGCCAACATCCTGAAGTGGTTCACAATAAAGGCCAGTTCTGACATTCTCCTGTTAGAAAGGAGGCCAATTGGAGCACATTGTTGTCCACCATTGTTTTCTTTGAATCTTTAAATTGGGACTGTAAGGAAGGAGCTTCTAAAAAGGCAAAAGAAATTGTTAGTTGATCAACATGAAATTAAAATTGACCCCGTTTACTTTCTTAAAAGGTTGATTCACCCCAAAATGAAAATTCGGTCATTAATTACTCACCCTCATGTCGTTCCAAACCCGTACGACTTTCGTTCTTCTTCGGAACACAAATGAAGATCTTTTTGATGAAATCTGAGAGATTTCTGTCCCTCCGTTGACAGCCTAAGCAACTACCACTTTGACGGCTTCAAAAAGTTCATAAAGAGATGGTAAAACTAATCCATATGAATTGAATGGTTTAGTCCAAATTTTCTGAAGAGACAAAATCGCTTTATACACTGAATAGATTTAATTTAGGCTTTTATTTACATAAGTATTCATCAACTCACACATCAGTTGTGGTAAACAATCTCAAGCATGTTTGCTTGATGTGCGAGAACCAATGAGGTTCATTCTCGCGCGTCAAGCAGGTTCAGTTGAGCTTCTACTTGTATTCGCTGAACAAAGGTTATATGTGAATAAAAGCCAAAATTGAATCTGTTCATCATATAAAGAGATCGAGTCTCATCAGAAAATCTGGACTAAACTGCTCTTACTCATGGATTAGTTTTACAATCTCTTTATGAACTTTTTGAAGCGTCAAATTGGTAGTTGCGTAGGCTGTCAACAGAGGGACAGAAAGCTCTCAGATTTCATTAAAAAGATCTTCATTTGTGTTTGTGAACGAAAGTCTTTATGGGTTGAGGGTGAGTAGATGATGACAGAATTTTCTTTTTTGGGTGAACAATCCCTTTAATGCACATTTCTGGCCTTACTGTGAATGTTTAATCAGTGCATCTTATTTTAAAACATTTTCTTTGTAATCTTTATAATTCAACATGCTGAATTGGTAAAAAGGCCCCTTACAGGGTCCAACTAGTGTCAACGGTGCAGAACACACAGCAAAAACTGGCCCGGCATGGTGTGTGTCGGGGCCTTAAGTTTCCAACAGTGGGTGCTGCTTCTAGTAGTCAATAATTGAAGTGGGTCAAAACCTTTAATCAAACTCCTACATGAACTTTGAACAATACCCGTTCTTGTCTTAGGACAACTTTGATGAACTGTTTTGCTCCACTTCAAATGTTGACAACTGCAGTTATGCACAACAATTAACTGCAGATTTCAGCATTGAATGTCCACCTGTGCATTTTCATTGCATAATTCCCACATTCTACTCTCATTCCAGGTGAGCGTATCTTGGGTCACCCAGAGGAACCGTGTTATCTTTGGTTCGTAATGGAGTTCTGCGATGGGGGCGACCTCAACCAGTACATCCTCTCCCGACGACCTGATCCGCGGACCAATCGCAGTTTCATGAAGCAGCTGACCAGCGCCGTGGCCTTCCTCCATAAGAACAACATTGTCCACCGGGACCTCAAACCAGACAACATTCTCATCTCACAGAAATCGGATGGTCCCGTGATCAAGGTCGCCGACTTCGGCCTCAGCAAGGTGTGCGCGGGACTCAGCTACATTGAGAACGACGGCGACAACCGTGTTAACAAGAACATGGTGAACATTAATAAGTTCTGGCTGTCGTCAGCATGCGGTTCTGACTTCTACATGGCACCGGAGGTGTGGGAGGGCCATTACACCGCCAAGGCGGACATTTTCGCGCTCGGCATCATCATTTGGGCCATGGTAGAACGCATCACGTTTATCGACGCCGAATCCAAGCGAGAGCTCCTCGGCACGTACATTCGCCAGGGAACCGAGATCGTCCCGGTGGGCGAGGCCTTGCTGGAGAACCCGAAGATGATCCTGCATATCCCGCAAAGGACACGCAGTATCATGTCGGAGGGCGTCAAGCGGCTTTTGCAGGACATGTTGGCGGTCAACCCGCAGGACCGGCCCGACGCATTTCAGCTGGAAGTTAGAATGGACCAAGTCACATGTGCGGGATAAGCCGACCTGATTGGCCAAAACGAGCAAGCTTGCTCTTTCAGGTGGGTTGCGATTTCTTGATATAATTTTAAACATCAAGTCAGTATTCAGTATTATCTGCAGCGATCGCGTTTCTCAGGAGCTGTTACCCTCCTACATCCCCAGCTCCTCCTCTCGTCAGTCAGGATTTGACATTCTGATTCCCCTTTGAAACAGACTAAATTCTCAATTATGTTGTACATTAAAATCTTTATTTATGAATGATATCTGCATACATTCAAGTTGGTTCTGTTCTGTTCTTTTACTCTAAGGGGGGTTATTGCTGCTCTTATTCATGCTAGACTGCATGGATGCGCAGGGAGTTCTTGCCCAGAACCGCCAACCCGACTGTATGCTAATTGTCAATCCACTATTTGACAATAGTGGTCCTGACAGAAATGTTGTATTCACCAATTTTGTTTACCTCAGACCAGTTTAAAAATCCCATAATGCAAGAAAACAAGCCTCTTATGGCGCTTTTCCACTGCATGGTACGGTACGGCTCACTTGTGGCGCTTTTCCACTGCATGGTACGGTACGGTACGGCTCGCTTTAAATGGTACCACCTCTGTCAAGGTTCCAAGCGTATCGTACCGATACCGAAATGTGACGTGAACACACTGCAGATCACTGATTGGTCAGACAGAATCGTCACTACCAGCGTCATTGTATTTGCGAGACATCAAACCCGCTAGATGTAAATAGCCACTTTGGCCAGTAACAGCCACCACTGTAGCACCTGTTTTAAAACTACTTGCTTGACTTGCTTGAAGAAAACTTCCAAAAAATAAATGGCTGAATCGTGGTCAGTGGACGAAGTGCAGACGTTCCTCTCGTTGGTTGCCGAGGAGCGGATAAACTATAACGGTCAGACTATAATCCCACCCACTTTGAAGCGGTACTAACTGCAGTGGAAAAGCAAACCGAGCTTAAGCGAACCGAGACGTGCCGAGCCGAGTCGTACCACGCAGTGGAAAAGCGAAGCGCGCCGAACCGTACTGAGCCGTACCAACAGTGGAAAAGCGCCATTAGGTTGTTATAAATGTACAAATATGTAAATCAAGCGTGCCGCACAAGTCCTGAAAAGTGAAGCCTAAGCGCCTCGATCGCCTCCCAGTGGCTGGTCCCAGTATAGGTCATAAACCCCACCTCCCCATGTAGTCTAATGGGACGCAATGGAAACTAAACAATCAAATTACACTTCAAATACATTTTTTCCAAATATGTTTTATGTCATTTTAGGTAGTTTTTAATATGACACTGATGTAAGTTTAAGTGTTTGTGTTTTGAAATAAGTTTGGTGTTTGATGCTATAAAAATGGGAATGTGACGTCATGATTGACAGCTGTGATTGATAGCTTCTCTAAACGAAGTAGTCACTGAGGCACCAACAGACTTTTTGGGGATTTTCGGGAGGAGATTGGAGCTTCAACTTTACATTGCTACATGTCTATAACTGTTTATTTCACACCGACATAATGAGTAAAGTGAGTGAGGCCGGAGACCTTGATATCGCGGCTCTTCTTCACGTTCATTACTGCGCAGAATCAGCAGGTCCCAAATCAGCGCAAGATGTCCGCGCCATATTAGGACTTATGGCGGCTTCACTTTTCACCAATGGAAGAGAGTGATGGTGCGTCGTCCATCTTTTTTTACAGTCTATGTTGTAAATACATACATTTATCTACGTGTTAAAGTGCTCTCAGGTGCCAAATCTAAGCTAGGCCGATCTTGAGTTTGCTTCCCAGAGTTCTTTGCCTATTCTAGAATTTCCCGTCCTTCCAGCTGCTTTGTATTTCTCTAATCAAACCCACGTAGAGTCGGTATATGGCCTCAGGGGTAACATGTACCCTGCGAGCCTGCCACGCTCTACCCTTCACATGTCTCGCAGGCCTGTTCGGTTTTACCAATGCCACGCCCCGAGTTCCTAACAACATTTTGACTAACAAGATCCGACACCTTTTTAGCAGCAGAATGCATGCGGCCAGGGGCGATAGCATGACTGTGTGAAACACGGCATACGCCCAACCAGGTGCATTTTGTTTTTTGGGTAGCATCCAATTATTATACAACGTCAGTAATACCGGAATGGCATTCACGCAGAGTTTATTGCACTTGTTTTTATGGATTTTGCATTGGACGAGGTTCAACTGAAACTGCCAGAGGAAATTGAATGCATTTCCTGAATGCAAGTCACTCTATAGCATTTTTTTTATTTATTTTACTGTAGCTATATTTAGGCTTTTTAATAGGCTTTATGCACAGCTTCACTACTTCCTGAACTTCAGCCAGCCCTTTGTTTCCTGTCTGTCATTATTGGACAAACTGATTAATCCAGGTGTGCCTGATTATTGTTACTGAGGCCAGGCACACCTGAATTAATCAGTTTGTCCAATAATGACAGACAGGAAACAAAGGGCTGGCTGAAGTTCAGGAAGTAGTGAAGCTGTGCATAAAGCCTATTTTAGGAATTATACTATTTCTGCTTTTTTAAATTAAAAATATTCACACTTTCGGGACTTTATCAATGTTCTCTTAATGTGTATTACTTTTATTAGTAATGTTTTATTAATTTATTATTAATAACAATTATTAATGTTATTTATTTAATTTTATCTAAATGTAGGCTATTTATTTATTGGTTTATTGTTCATGTTGGAAGATTATTACATTTGCTGAATCAATAATAATTATTTATTTTCCTTTATTAAAATCTAGGGCTGTCAATTCAGCATTCAAATAATCAAATAATTAAATGAAATAATATGCTGAATAATCTGATTTATAAAAATATTCACACTTTCAGTAATTCACACACCAAGTATTGTAATGTGTAACAAAGTGAATTGTATTCAATCATTCAAATCAATAATATTTAATATCAATGTATGTTTATATTATAATATTTATTATTTTTAATTAATAATAACCTATTAATTTATATTGAATTATATTTAATTTTATCTAAAGTTATTTATTTATTTATTTATGAGTTTGCTGTTAATGTTGGAAGATTACAAATTTGCTGAAACAGTAATAATAGTATTTCAGTAATAATTATATCTATTATGTTTTTCCTCTAACTTCCTTTTTATTAAAATCTAGGGCTGTCAATTAAAAAAAAACATTTTAATCAAATTAAATAAAATGCTGAATTGTTTATGTATTCATATTTTCTAAAGAAAATGATAATTTAAATATATTACATTGTCACTTGTCATTAGAAGTCAATATATTGTAATTAAAGTATTTTATTAACTTTAAAAATTCACACTTGAAGACGAAGTCTGCTGTCTTAATACTCCCAACCAGGTGCTTCAATGTTTTGGTTGGGAACCAATTGTTACACAACACCAGTAACACCGGAATGTCGTTCCCGCAGAGTTTATTGCATTCTTTTATGGATTTTGCATTGGATGAGGTTCAACTGAAAAGGCCAGAGGAAATTAAATGCATTTTGAAGCCACTTTATAGCACAATTTTAATCAAAACTGGCTTCATTGTTGTCCGGAGGCTAGAACCAATGCACAGCCGGTTTGTTGTAAAACAATGACTTCATTCAGACTAGCACGCATCTTTATAACCTTTATTTAACCAGGAGAAAAGACTCCATCTCCAGTGTAATACAATGAAGATGGCGGCTTGTTTGATGTCAAATCGGCGGGGCGAGGATGTGAACGTGTACGTGACTCGTGCATCAGGGGTTTATGGCCTCAGTGAGCATATAGAGCAGTTATGCAACACTCCTCCTCTCCCTGATGGCCTGAATGGATGTATCCATCCGTCCAAACAAGCAGGCCTGGGAGTGAGCCGTGGGTCGGCCTGTTTGTCTTAGTGGGGTAAGAGGGGGTACTTTTGCGTATTTACGCCCAGAGCGCTTTCAGACGTGCTCTTCAAGCCCTCCACCCTCCCGTCCCGAAGCACACACACACACATTTTAGGCCCTGAGACACTGAGGGGGTCTATGGCCTCGCTCTAGACTCACGTTCAGAACATTTTGTTCTTGGCCTGCCAGCCTGTGTGAGTCTCCATTGCTACTGTGTGTATACGGTCACTGTCAGGTACATTATTATCCACAAATCTGCTGAATCGTTGTGATTTGAAATATAGCAATGGTGATATTGCTCCTCTTTTTTAATTAAAGACATTCACACTCTGGTAATTCACATCACAAAAATGTAATGAACATGTAATGTGTAACGGTAAATTATATTCATTCATATCAATAATGTTTATCATTTATTTTATTATTTCAACACATTTATTACTTTAACATTAATAAATATGTTTATTTATTTATTGTAAATTGTATTATGTCTAATACTTTTTTTTAAATATAACTTTTATTATTATTTATTTAAAATTGTATTCTTTTTTAATACTATTTAATAGCAAAAATGCACAACACAGTACATAATGTGTAATTATTATTATTATTATATTATATTCATTCATATTGATAATAATGATTTATGTATATTTTTATTTATTTATTTATTTTTAATGCTTTTTGTTTATTTATATTTAAATTGTATTAACTAATACTAGTTAGTTTGATTCAACATTTTAACCAAATAAATAATCACTGCTAGTGCTAATTAATATGATTAATCCAAATTAATTGTCTATATATCAATATTTGCTGAGAAAAGCCTAAAATTAAAATAATTCAAATACATACACACAAGTACATCGTTGAATGGACAAAGTGGTTTTAGAAGTCAGTATACTGTAAAATAAAGTCAGTAAAGCATTTTATCAAGTCTGTTGTCTTTGGACAGTTTGCAAGTTGTATTTGTTACCTTTTATAAATATTATAATTCCTACTATTTGGACTGATGTTCGCAGGCACAACTCTGTCTGTGCTCAGATCTTTTGCAGATGTAAGAGCGCTCATCTGTCAGTGTGAGTGTGGCGTGTTGTATCTGTGATTATGGTCATTATATAAGCGGGTCATTGAGTGCAGAGCAGCTGTAATGTAAGGTACAGTGTGTTCTCTGTGTCTGTTCCCCGACAGCCATGTCGTGTTGATCAACACACAGTAGCAGAGCTGAGCAGAAAACCAGTGTTCATGCTAAAACTAACGGGACAACATTCCCGTTCAAGTTTTGATCCGAACACAACTAAATGTAAGAAATGCATTATAATACACCATCAGATTTCTCAACATTTAAAACTACCATTTTTGTAAATGGTAAATGGGAAAAGTGGGGGTTGTTTTCCAGGATTGTAAGGAGCCAGCGAGTGTTTACAGACTGTTATGTAAGCTGGAATATCTTTCAGCTGATAATTGTTCTAAAAACATGCGTTTTTCCATGTATTTAGCACACTTTTCCAATCAGAGCTTGCTTTTTTGATTGTTAAACTGTTTTGGTAAGTTCTTTTTTTTATCTATCAGAAGAAGAATGGCCTAAAACCCTTTGCAAACTAATAATAAGTCAATGTAAGATGTGACATTGAAGTTATTTGTGCACTGTAAAAAACATTCAAACCCTCTTTTGGTGTTAAAAAACTACTATCAGGATTTACTAAAGACAGTGAAAGTTTTGCGCTAAAAAGTCGTGTACAGGGTTATGTTTGCATTGCAGCTGACCTTATTGCATATGCATTTGTAGGAGTTTCCCTTTCAGATGCAAACGTTATGGGAGGAGAGTATTTAAATGAATCATGTAAGGTGATTTACTAAGGTTTGGGCAGTGCTTGAAGTGGGGGGAAAAAGGTGCCCGTACTCTCTTGCATTGGCAAATCATGACATTTGAAATTTCTACAGTGAAAAACAAAACTTGGAAATATTGCTGGTACAACAACAATTTATTGTTATCTATTAACAACATAAATGTATTTAAACAAGTCGTGTGTGTGTGTGCGTGCGTGTGTGCGCGCGCATTTATTTACAAAGAAACATTCTCTTTTTAGAAGTTGGTCATTAATAAACTTGATTCTTGAAGTTTGTTAAGATGGGAGGTATAGGGACTAGTTTGCTCGTTTTATTTATTAATAAAACATATATAGTTTTACCCAAACTGAATAATTAAGACAAGTTTAAATGGCTAAATCTTGTATAAATATTTTTGAGCCTTCATTTTCTTTTCTGACGTAGCCTACTCCAGTTCTTGTTAAAACACACTAGACATGCAAATTCTGTGCATTTTGGGCACTTTTTGTGTGAAATCATATTTATTTTCTCCATCAAAAGTGTGCTTTGCTTTCACTTTAAATGTCGTGAGTAGCACAACAATAGACTCGGCGCCGAACCCCCGCTTCACTGCTTCTCACGCGACGCTCCTCCTCGCGGTGTGAATGCACTCATTGATTAACATGCAAGCCGAAAAAAATACGCGCTGCTCACGCTTGCGGTGGCCGCGATCAGCTCCAGTAGCCGTTTCGCAGCCGTAACGCGCCACAGATGTGTGCAGTGTAAATAAGGGGTTAAACAGCCGTCACGCTTTTTCTGTCAGTAGAGTACCGGCTACATGCGAGAAGTAGCGGTACGCAAGAAAAAGTGCAGGTAGTACGCTTAAGAGTAAAATGTAGAAGTGCCAATACTGCGTACCGGTGAGTACCGCCCCACTTCGAGCACTGGGTTTGCGCTAGTCAATTTTCTGGTGTTTCCGCCATTATTTACCGCCCCAAAAAGCATGTGTTAAACCAGACGCTAACTTGCGCAGCTCTTCATAGATTGCGTCAGTCATTATGGAAATGATCCGGCTGCGTCTGTGTTCTTTCATTTGCTCTTGTCATAAATTCACACACAGAACTTAACACCCCCATCTGTGCTTTTATGGGATTGAGCTCTCATACACTTCACACAGCACTTATCCTAAAGCTCGTCATCACTTTCGTCCTGCTCTCCTCACTGTCTTCTTTTCTCTCCAACATGTAGATGATGATTTTTGTCACATACAGCAAACATCTCCTCACTATCCGCTAGCTGCCTGTCCCCTGAACACACTGTAAAAAAACGCGGTCTCTGCAGACACCCCAGGCTCCACAAACGGCAACAAAAACTAACTGGGCTTACCCGCACCACGAAACATAACAAACTGTTCCAGCCAATGACCGACAAGAAGGGTTTGGGGGGTTAGTGTGCGGATGAGGAGGAGGGAGGGTCTAGCTAGCCTCCGTTTTGTTTGACAATAGTTCGAACGTCAACAAGAAGTGACGTCACCCAGGATCGCTTAGAGAACCTTTACTGACACAGACAACATCAGGAATATTAGGCTGCTGTCCCTTTAAGACGGACCGGATATACTGACACACATCCGGTTTCTTTCTCAACTGTTCACTAATGACATAACCGAGGAAATATGTCGAGACGGGTATTTTGACATAATTTTGTATGTGGCCGAAAGAGGAATCAATTCAGTGTTCAAGCCTCTGTTTGAAACTGTCCTCTCTCTCTCTCTCTGTGCGCGAGTCCCGATTTTAGCCTCTTCTTCTGCGTTTAAAATCATTTGAATGTGTAAATTGGCAAGACAAAACACATCCAAATGATAAACGTTCACTCTATGATGGTATAACTTAGCAGTTAATCCGCAAATAACATGCGTGCCGAACCGTGGGGCCGGATCCGTACGGATCAACTGCGATCCGTTGCACCTCTAATAATTAATGAACACACTTATTATCATATCATCATGATTGCTATCTTACCAGAGATGAAGAAAAATCCTACTCTGGTAAGCAAACGTGTCACTGTCCCCAAAAATGTTGTTTCCCTCCACGTTTTTTTGCTGCGCATCGTTTATCTTTTCTACGCATGCGCACCAGTTATGGGCACCCCTGATTATAACCTAATGTTTACTCCGTTTTCTTTATGTAATCCTTTTGTGGAATATATTCTGTCTCAGTCTCTGTAAAGTAAATTCGATCGGGTCAAACTTGGAAAAACAATTGTACAGACACGGACAGCATTATTGGATTAGCTTACAGCCATAGTTGGCCGAGGATGAAATCGGATCTGATGCAGAAACAGCTTGGATGACATCAGTGAATCATTTACTTGCCAAGCGTCCGACACATGGACCCCGGATTAGAGACACTAGGAGAACAACAACAACAAGGCCTGTAGCCTGTAACTGTTGAGTAGAATATATCAATGGAAGATATGGTCTTCATTTGAGGAGTGCTGATGTCAGCAGCCAGATGTTATTGTGTTCAGGTCAGATACCAGCCGTCTGCCTGATCAATGACCAGCTGATCATGTCAGTCTCGGTCGAGTGTTTGCTCTATTTACTACAGTATCACACGCTGAAGTAGCTTTCAGATAAGTTGTGTGTGCATTTATTTGCAGTTTGTGCAATTATTTGCATGCAGCGAGCGACTGTGCAAACGTTTCAGCGTATACTCGAGTGTGGATGACATAAAATGCAATATTATGACAAAAGTCATAACAATGAGATTAAAAATGTAAATTATGATATAAAATTTGATATTATGACAAAAAAGTCATAACTGAGAGATTCAAAATTGAAATGACAAAATTCGATTTGACAAAAAAGTAATAATTATGATGAGATTAAACATTGAAATTGATGACAAAACATTTCGATTTATCATTTTAATTCTGACTTATATCTCCTAATTTCTATTTTTCATAGCATTTTTCTATCATAATTACCTCATAATTTTGACTTTTTATGTCCTAATTTCGACTTTTTTGTCATTACTATGATTTTCCAAATCATGTGTTTTATTATTATTGTGGTGGAAATGGGTTTTCTTGGATGTGTTTGGTTGAGTAAGTTTTGTTTTGCTCTCTCTACAGGTTTCCAGAGTGGAATTGCTCACCGATGGAAAGGAAATCAAAAGGAATCAGTGAATCCTTGGAACTGTGAAATTTCTCTTGTTCTCTCACTTCCAGAAAGCAGAAGTGAAAAGAAAAGTCTCGATCTCTACATTAAAGACCCATCACGTGGAAATGCTATGCAGGTATCTTTCATAACACGCTGTTTTTCTACTTCAGTGCATCGGATTCCCGATACAAGTCTTCCAAACTGACTTCAAACCCATGTGTTTTCCTGCTCAAATCTCTCCAGCAATGATTTCACGTCCCTCTCGTTCTCTGCTGTGACTCGTGCTGTTGTTCTGGACCAGATTTCGACACACACGTTGCACTATGTCCTCAAACAAGCATATCCGCTGAAACTACCTTTCGCCCCATCCTTCTGACGGGGTTTACCAGACAGTATAGATGTAAATACTTCGATGTAGTAGATAATGCAGCACTAGGATTGATCGAATGTTGTCGAATGCTCTAAAATATTCACGGGAAAACAGAGAAGGAAGTTATTATAAAGCTCACAACCATAAAGACTTACTGTGAACGATATAATGTGAATAACCGGGTACATAGCGACCCCGTCTCTCCTGTAGGAATGAATGTTTCTGACCCGAACAACAGCACTTCTATAAAAAAAAACAAAAAACAATTTAAATCACTGTTGTGCCTTATTTTCACTTTTTTTTCTTTTCTTTTTTTTTTTTAAAGAAAGTGGATGGTTCTTATTATTTTAGTTTAGTTTTTAAGGATATTTCAAATGATTTTGTTTTATCTGAAATGTCGCCATGTTATTTCCATGCTAATAATATTGGTTCTCAAATGTTTTAACATTTGCAAAAATGTGAGAGGTATTAAAACTTTGGTTTGATTTGAGTTCATTTGACAGGATCCATTGAAGCAGTTGCAATAATAATTTCATTTTTTGTGTGTGTGTGTCATTTATCATCCATCAAAATACAGATCAGGTGTAAACAAAATGATGACACTTTTTTTTTGTACTAACGCCGTTAACCAGGAGATTATTTTACTTTCTATGCAGACTGGAGAGTTGATGTTTTCTAAATAATGAATTGGTGAGGGAACAAATATTGTAGTTGTTAATCTTGGTTTTCATCTTCACATTGTTGTAGCAAAAGGTCTAATTTCCTTTTCATGTCATAAACGGATATATGGAATGTTTTAGTTCCGTTGGAATGGAACAGTTTGAATTCACTTTATGGGATTTTATACACAGAACACTGCAAGATTCTGTTTCTATAGGAACCATTGAGTAGATGTTGCTTGATTGTCCTCCGTACTATTTGTCACAAACACACCAGATTCGATCCTCTGTGGAAAAAAATGTGTTGAATACTTGTTTTAATTATAAAAAGGGTTCACATTCACATTCAAGGTTAAAGTACATACATTTTAGGTCACAATAGTCTATATTTCTCCCGTAAACTGGGTATTTGTACCAGGTTAACCCAGTGAGAAATAGTTTTCCTTCTGTATTTTAGTAATGATTTCTATTCAGTGTTCTTGTTTACATACTCAGTGTTTCTACCTCACTATCATGACATCTTTAACCTCACTTTTCCTCGCTGTGGTGGGTTGCGTTTAGTTCAGTCTTTTGCTGTTTGCATCTTTTCAGCGGTAGTACTGTTATCCGTAACGTATTAAACGTCTCGAGCTGACTTTGCATTTCACTGTATATGTTGTTATTTTATTGTGCTTTGTATGAGGTGCAGAGCAAGATGAATCTCCATTTATTATGGTAAAACAAAAAGGTCTTTGCATTTATCTTACATTCTCCCTAAAGGGACATGGTGATAGAAAAGAAGCGAAAGAGCGCAAACGCAAAGTCAAACATTTTGTGAGCAAATGCAAAGTTTCTCAGGGGAACAGAAAGTGAATGCAACGTTTTTTGTGGAATGCAAAATGTTTAGCGAGCGAACGCAACGTTTCTCATGGGAACAGAAAGTGACTGCATAGTTTTTCTGGGGAACGCAATTACGCAACGTTTATCGAGCGAACGCAAAGTTTCTCGTTGAACACAAAATGTTTCGCGAGCGAACGCAAAGTTTCTCGTTGAACACAAAATGTTTCGCTAGCGAACGCAAAGTTTCTCGTTGAACACAAAATGTTTCGTTAGTAGGGGTGTAACGATATTTGAACCGAACCGAAAAACCGCGATACACCACCCACGATACGTATCGCGATACTCTCATGGCGAACCGAACACGCCCCGCCCAGCCCCGGCTCATTGCACTTCATGCGTTATGTGTACACAACGATTACAGGGCTGTTGCCTAACCACCATTAACCACATATAATCGCAATAAGCTCAGTGTTTTGTTACTTTTGATAATAAGCAAGGTGTAATCTTTCAAATTATGTCTATTTGATCACGAAATGCAAACAATAAATGCCGTTTTGGCGCTCTTAGATGTGGCGTGACAGATATCACTGTATGCATGCGGCAGCGCGGAGCGCGATCATCTCTTCCTCAGTTACAGAATAAACATGAATGGACACCCGAAGGTATGTTGAAAGATACAGTATACTTACTGAAAGGCATCATAACTCGTGTAAACACTCAATCAGTGTTTCAACAGCGGAAATACGTCAATAAAACGCTTAGTTTTTCACATAGCTTTATATTTACCTCAGGCAAGTCATTCAGTGTCCACAGCTTGCTGGTTTGCTAACTCTTTCACTAAATAAATGCTATATATTAGCCTATATATTATATTTTACTTAACCTGTTTATGATATCTTGATTTAATGTATGTTTAAAATAGTTGTCATGAAAATAACAGCAACTGTGTAAATTATTATATAACAATAACAAATTAGAGTAAAAACATGTTAATGCAAAAATTGCCTTATGTGCAGTTTACATGTTTTCATACAATTTGTTATTTGAGTGTTGATTATTATTATATCATTTAGGCTAAAATTCTAGGCTTGTTAAGCTTTAATGTTATAGTAATGTGCAAGTAAGGGCTGTAGTTTACAGCATTAGCAGATAATTTTGTTATCCTTGAGAAACGTTTACTTGTAATTGAATTAATTTAAAGACAAGGACACAATTTGTTCATTAAAGCACTGTTTAATAAAAAATAAAAGCAATTTTAGCTTTCTAAACCCCCCCCCCCCCCCACCGAAATGAACCGAACCGAACCGAACCGAGACCTCAAAACCGTGGGACGAACCGAACCGTCAGGTTTGTGTATCGTTACACCCCTATTCGTTAGCGAACGCAAAGTTTCTCGTTGAACACAAAATGTTTCGCGAGCGAACGCAAAGTTTCTCGTTGAACGCAAAATGTTTCGCGAGCGAACGCAGTTTCTCGTTGAACGCAAAATGTTTAGCGAGCGAACGCAAAGTTTCTCGGGGAACACAAAACGTTTAGCGAGCGAACACAAAGTTACTCTGGGAAATGCAAAACATTTTGGGAGCGAACGCAAAGTTTCTCGTTGAACGCAAAATGTTTAGCGAGCGAACGCAAAGTTTCTCGGGGAACACAAAACGTTTAGCGAGCGAACACAAAGTTTCTCATTGAACGCAAAATGTTTAGCGAGCGAACGCAAAGTTTTTCGGGGAATACAAAACGTTTAGCGAGCGAACGCAAAGTTTTTCGGGGAATACAAAACGTTTAGCGAGCGAACGCAAAGTTTTTCGGGGAATACAAAATGTTTAGCGATCGAACACAAAGTTTCTCGGGGAACGCAAAACGTTTAGCGAGCGAACACAAAGTTTCTCGGGGAACGCAAAACGTTTAGCGAGCGAACGCAAAGTTTCTCGGGGAACGCAAAACGTTTAGCGAGCGAACGCAAAGTTTCTCGGGGAACGCAAAACGTTTAGCGATCGAACACAAAGTTTCTCGGGGAACGCAAAACGTTTAGCGAGCGAACGCAAAGTTTTTCGGGGAATACAAAATGTTTAGCGAGCGAACGCAAAGTTTCTCGTGGAACGCAAAATGTTTAGCGAGCGAACGCAAAGTTTCTCGTGGAACGCAAAATGTTTAGCGAGCGAACGCAAAGTTTCTCGGGGAACGCACAAATTTTTGCGACAAATCATTTTTCCTCCCATCTCATATTTTTTTTCCTTCACCATGTCCCATTAGCCTCTGATCTCTTAATGGATCAATGCAGTTCAAATATTCCTGATATACCTCCTCTGCCAGTGACACTTTCTTATCTATTAGGGAACTTTTAGCCTTTCTATCAAGACAAAATCCACAGGAAGTTCATGTCTTTCATCAGTGAATCATATTAAAGGACGTTTCAAGTCTGAAAATAGTACATTTAGTGTAACTCACCTTGAAATACCAAAAAACCTCATCGACTCACAGTAAGGTCATGCTTCCTGTCCCTCAGGTGTTCACTGTAAAATGTTTGCTGGTCAAACAAACAGGACCATGTAACAGCCTGAGGAAGACTATAGACAAAGACACGCACATTGACTGTTCACTACAAACACAGAAAACAAACTCTTATCTTTCTACTGAATTGTTTTCTTTCTATCCTTTGGTGATTTTTTTTTTTTTTTTTTTTTTTGGTCTGACTATTTTGAGATTACAGATATTTTATATTGCACAAATGTCTTCTCATAGTTAATATTGAACTGGGTTTGGTTTGTGATGCTATGAGCCATTTGATGTTTTTGCAATGCAAACTTTCTTAAATGTATGTAGACTTTTGTTTTCTTGAAATAAAGAAATAGAAATAAATATTTTTGTCTTGATTATTATGTATTATTAGGTTTTGCTTTGTATGTCATGATATTGACTTTTTTATACTTGTGATTTTTATCACCTACTTTTAACTGTTATAATTTTGACTTTTCGTATCATAATGACGTAACGACTGTTATTTCTGTTTTATTCAACTTTTTAAATGAAAATTATGACTTAATGTATATGAATATGAATATATTTTCTAATGTCTTGTCATAATTAATTACTACTTTTTATGTCATAATCTTTATAATTATGATTTACCACAGTATAACTTTTTTCTTATGTGGTGGAAATGGGCTTTCATAATTATGACTTACTATGTCAGAATTTTGACTTTTTATCTTCTAATTCAAATTTTTGACATAAGTTTGAATTTTAATGTAATAATTATGACATGTCAATTTTGACTTTTTATCTCTTCATTTGAACTTTTATATCATACTTTTGACTTTTTGTGTCATAATTTTTTACTTTTACATAAATTATGACTAACTACTCTTTTCCTCCGAATATCTATACTGACTATGTAATAATTATGACTCTCTGTATATTATCTCATAATTTAAATTTTAAAAATTATTATTGAAGACTTATATGACTTTTAATAGTCTCTTGTTTTCTTTAAATAAAGAAATGTGATTGATTGTTGTGTATTATCAGGTTTTGCAGCCAGCTAATGCTCCAGAATATTAGCCATAATTATCATAAATATCTCACATTTGGCACATTTGAAAATATAATCGATTTTAAAATTGCCTTTGGATTTAAGTTCACTTGACTTCTCGTAAACATATCACAGGATATGTCTGTCAAACTTTCTAGCCTTTGTTTTCCACCACTGGCCTGTACAAACACGCTTAATTACCTGCACAAATACTTGCACAGCATGACGTGACTTCGTGATGAGCTTCGGTTTCATATATGACTAACTTGAGACTCATGGAACTTCATGTTCAGTGACAGCATCAGCACGCAATGGTCACTAATGCCAGCTCAGTGAAAGGTCACCCTTGAGGTCCACGTTGTGTTAAAGTAGGTCAGTAGTGTGTGATGAAACCTAATCCATTATAATCAGTTTTGAAGTGATGGTCAAGCACATGAATGCATGGCCTTAGAGGTCAGTTGTGTAATAAAGTCAAGGAGGTCTGTAATTCCGAGAGAGAGAGAGCGAGAGAGAGAGAGAGAGAGAAAGAAAGAAAGAAAGACTTTAATTACAATTACTCTGTTTATACTCCATATGTTTTTAATCATTTTCACAAATAATTTCTGTTTAGAATATCAACATAATGTCAGTCTATCTATCTATCTATCTATCTATCTATCTATCTATCTATCTATCTATCTATCTATCTATCTATCTATCTATCTATCTATCTATCTATCTATCTATCTATCTATCTATCTATCTAGTGTCTGTCTATCTATATCTATCTATCTATTGTCTGTCTGTCTGTATCTATCTATCTATCTATCTATTGTCTGTCTGTCTATCTATCTATCTATTGTCTGTCTATCTATCTGTCTGTCTATTTATCTATTTTCTGTCTGTCTGTCTGTCTATCTATCTATCTATTGTCTGTCTATCTATCCATCTATCTATCTATCTATCTATTGTCTGTCTGTCTATCTATCAATCTATCTATCTACCTATCTATTGTCTGTCTATCTATCTATCTATCTATCTATCTATCTATCTATTGTCTGTCTGTCTATCTATTTTCTGTCTGTCTGTCTGTCTGTCTGTCTGTCTGTCTATCTATCAATCTATCTATCTACCTATCTATCTGTCTATCTATCTATCAATCTATCTATCTATTGTCGGTCTATCTGTCTATCTATTATTGTCTGTCTATCAATCTATCTATTGTCTGTCTATCTATTTATCTATCTATCTATCTATCTATCTATCTATCTATCTATCTATCTATCTATCTATTTATGTCTCTTGTCTGTCTGTCTGTCTGTCTCTATCTCTCAGTCAATCAATAATAGTTTTTACTAGTTTTACGTGATCTTAGCACTGCGTTCGACACTATAGATAAAAAAATAATCGATCGACTACAAAATGACACTGGTGATCAGGGACGGGCATTAAGCTGGTTTAGATCGTATCTATCAGACCGTTACCATTAAACGGGAAGAATCTGAAGATAACGCCAGTAAATTGTTGAGTGCCGCAGGGATCTGTGTCAGGCCCTCTGCTATTGTACACAGAATCTCTTAGAATACACATGGCCATTTCTTCATCCTCTACAGTTTAAGACCTGTGTGTTATATTAGACAGCAACTTGTCTTTCGAAAATCATATTTCATAAGTTACACCAGCCTTCTTCCACCTCAGAAACATCGCTGAGCTCCGTAAAATGCTTTCTGTTTCTGATGCAGAAAAATTAGTTCAGGCATTCATGACCTCGAGACTAGATTACTGTAATGCATTACAAGCTGGTTGTCCTTCATCCTCAATAAACAAGCTACTTATTAGTCCTAAATGCAGCTTCTAGAGTTCTAGGTCAAGAACATATGATCATATAACACCAATTGTATCATCTCTACACTGGTTATTAAAGCCCATCTTTCAAGTTGAAGATCCCTGTGAATAGATGTGTAGATAAGAAACTCGATTTGCGTGAAGAAATTAATCATAAATGTGCATTAAAAAAGTTTTTTAAAAGAAATTGTGAGTAAAATTACTTCCGCTGTCAAAAACGCTCTGATCGGACGTGACGCAACGGCCGGTAAATCTCATCTCTTCGTAATGGAGTCAGCCATTGAAGAGGTTGCAGTAGGAGTTCATGTCAACCCTTACGATGGGCTATTGCCGTATAATTATGAGCCACCTAGGCGAGAGAGGGGTCAGGCAGAGTTAAGGGGAAGGGTAAATGGACAGAGGAGAGAGATAACTCGAGTTGTGGTGTGAGGAGAATCGGGCAGGTGTCTTGGTGAGTGACCACAGGCTATAGCTAGCTAATTGTGGCTAACGTTGTCTCCATGTTTAGTACATTGCAGTATCTTTAATAAATCGTATTTAGCAATATTGCTGTCGACTTTGTTGTTTTTCAAGCATCCATGTATATTGTCACCATCTATGCTAGCAACATGCGTCTTAAAATGTTTAATTTAGATCCCAGATTTTCCGAACTTAGCCTGCTGTCATACTACTCCCATAGTATTTCCGACGGACATTATGTAAATGAGTTCGCATGTACTGCGGAGTATGTGTATGAAAGCAGTTAGTGTTCCGGTTAGGACGGGAATATGCTGTTCATGTAAATATAGTCATTGTTACAAGGATCTTTTATTGTCAAGTGGACTGGGTGTAAGGCATGCAGATAAATGCCATTACCACCCGATCCCGCCCGCCGAATTTCTGACCATTACCACCCGTTCCCGACCGCCGAATTTCTGACCATTCCCGCCCGCGCCCGCCGAATTTCTGACCATTACCACCCGTTCCCGCCGAATTTCTGACCATTACCGCCCGTTCCCATCCGGTGTGAAGTGTTTTTCACATACCACCGTGTGTGTCACCGAGGAGGCAGAGAAATTGCTTCGCTTTGCCTGGACGAAACGTATCCAAGCACGGAAATCTTTGTGTTTCTTGTTTGGAAATCGGTGGACCCGATGACCAGACAAGTTGGAGTGGTTGCATCCAAAACAAACACAAGAATTCACCATTGTGACAATTCAAACCAACTCAACTAACGTTATAACGATAACTACAAGCTCTATTTTCTGTACCACCTCTCAGACTACGTAAACCCACACTGAGAACCAGGGCAGCAACGCCTATTTGTTTGCCTGTCGTTGCGTCATATGACGCGTTCTCTGGAAAAGGGCGGTTTTTTGAGCCTAGCTTAGAATAGGTACACTTTTTCCTGAATTTCTGCCTGTGGGTGTTGTAAAACATATGTATTCTTATGCATGTCTTTTTAAATTGACATTTTCATACAAGATTCTGTATAAATTAAGTTATACAATTAAATTGAAAGATGGCCTTTAAGTCCTGTATCAATTATAAAGTATTGCTACTGATCTATAGGGCTCTAAATGGTTTAACTGATCTTCTATCGCCTTACAATCCATCACGCTCTTTAAGATCACACAACTCTGGGCTTCTGGTAGTATTTAGCATATCTAAGTCCACTAAAGGAGGGAGAGTGTTTTACATTTGGCTCCTAAACTCTGGAATAGCCTTCCTGGTGATGTTCGGGGCTCAGACCTTATACAGTTATATCAGATTAAACACACAATTATCTTGTGCTTGAAATGTTATGAATAGCAGCTACACTGATTATTTTCCATTAGCTTTTCCAT